CTCTCTCTCTCTCTCTCTCTCTCTCTCTCTCTCTCCCTCTCTAATGGCAGATGTATTGAATTTATATGAAATCAATATTTAATTCAGCAAATGAATGGATGACTTACTTTGAGCGCCACTAATGTTGCCGTTTTGGACGCAACGCCTGGCGTTCTCGGCGTTGGCCTCATCACCGGTGCCGCCACTCTTCGGCCCTCCTTGTGATGACAACGAGTTGTGTCGACAACCTTTACGAACAATTTCATCAATCAGTTGTAATTATTATTATATATTATTTAGCAAATAGTTATACACATCGCGAGAGTACTGCACATCCCTTTCCCTCAACACTATTTGATACATCGATGACACGACTTAATGAATGATACTTCACATCTCATTACAAGCGCCCAAACACTGCGAGTGCTCTAACATTCACGGAATACTACATCTGATAGTATGTTATATAAGATTATAAAACTTTTTGCTACTTTTGATCGCTATTCTCACTGAATGTCTGGCCGTGTTTTGTTGTTTTTCTTACTATTTGTCTGTCTATTCTGTGTATATGTGTACTTGTATTCAGTACTAACTTATATATTGTATATCATATACTGTTTCCCAACTCTTATGAGCATTTCTTATTGAGCCGACAGTCGGAATGCAATAGAAATGTCTTAATAAATGACAAATCAAGTGTGTATTTGTATAATGAATGATACGGACCTTTATTGTGATGGATTGACTTGACTTTGGAAATAATCATAATAACGGTCGCCGCTATCACAAGCGAACCGATCACTGATATCAGTATATATATCACAGGCTTTAGACCAAATTCTGTGCCGGAATTAAACGGGGTATAAATTTTCATGAATTTATATAAATATAATATACTGTATATTATATATAATATTCATTACGGAATATAAGATAAAGAATAATGAAATGAAAGAGAATATGAAAGAAAACGTAAGCGAAAAGAGAGAGAAAACAAAAAATATAAATGCAATTACAATGTGAGCCATGAGTGACAGATTGTAATTATATATAACTACGATATCTTATATACAGAATATTCTGACAATATATTTATGAGATGGTAAGACATATACTGCCAGTGAGTGTGCAATCAAATTGAAAATATAAAGTAAGAAAAATAAAAATGTCTTAAAACTCAACGAAAATTATTTTAGTTTTATTTATTTTTTGAATGCAAAAAATCTCATTAATATGTTATATGTTTTTGAGATATTAATCTAATTTTAAAAGATGCAAAATATAAATCAAATGGCTTTTAAGCAAATAATATAAAACAACAAAAACATTGTTTGTTATATTATTTATGGACTAATTTTCACATTAACTCTTGACTTAATAGCGAAAGACAGCAAAAAATACTTATAATTAGTTTCTAAACATTAAGTTTTAATAGTAATTCCTTATGTATTTTCTGCGCCAAATTTTCATTCAACCATTTGTTTAGTTAAAGTAAAACACATTTAATAGCGAAAGACAGCAAAAAATACTTATAATTAGTTTCTAAACATTAAGTTTTAATAGTAATTCCTTATGTATTTTCTGCGCCAAATTTTCATTCAACCATTTGTTTAGTTAAAGTAAAACACATTTAACTACTTTCTTATGCCTTCAGATAATAATCAGTAATTTGTTTTGTGAGTAAAAAGACACACAACTCGGCAAAAAATCTCACATAAAATCTAAACAAATATTTAAACACTAAAATAGCTGTTATTCACAATAGGATTACAATTCAAATGTGCGACAAAAAAGCAATTCAAAGCACACAACAAAATATAACACAATTTATTGCTATTATTGCTATAATTGAAGAATAAAGTTAATCACAAATAATAGGCTATTAATACCGATATATTTCTGGTAACTCTCGAAAAAATACTCAAATAAAGTTTAAGTATTGAACAAAAAACAAATCATTTCTTCCAAAAGACCAGAAAAAAGCGATAATAAAATAAAATTAAAAATACGGTAATAATAGGCGAGAGAAACGCCATAAAAGTGTTAAATGGTTTAAAATGAAAAGTGATTAAACTTTTTCTTATCAAACAAACAAAAAGATATCAAACAAACTAACAATAAAAGACAGGAAAAAAACAATTATAATGTTTGTTCAAAAGCCGATACATACGGAGGGCGCCTAACGTGAACTCGTCCTTAAAGGGACTCTTGGCTGAGGCACCGGTAAGTGTGACATAATTGGAGCGGCCCTTAGCGTTGGCCGCGTACAGCACTAACACAAAACTGGTGGCAATGGGCAGACCCGACACCTCAAACACTGGCGCCTTCGCCGACGTCCAGTTGGACTGGAGTTGGCCCGACTCGGACTCGTAGATCTCGAGGAAGAATGTCTGCTCGAGACCGCCGTCTTCGCCGGCCTCGCACTTAGCGATCAGACCGTCGGTACTTTGATTGCCGACCAGACAGTTGCGGACCGGTTGCGGCGGACCGGCCGGTATCACTGCGAACACACAGGGCTCCGACTGTTCGCCAATCTTATTACGCGCCCAACAGTACAGCTCTCCGTAGCCGTACTTAGTCCGCGGGGCGTACGTCGCGATCGACCGGGTCTTTGAGGTGACAAAGTTTTTCACAGCAATCACTTCGAAACTATTGTTAAAACTCCACCGGAAGGTCACTTGTGGCGGGTCGGCGTCCACATCGCAAGGCACTTTGATTGGCTCACGTTTGGCCACACCGTATATCGTCCGCTGGTCCGCCCGACACACCGGCGCGTCTATACGTGTAATACAAATGTATAGATATTATAATATTCTTGGATTAAATGCAACAAAATTGGTGGCGAAAAAGCACTTACACAGCACTTTGAGTTGTATGTCTTCGCTGTCGCCCTCGCCCTCGGCGTTGGCGGCGACGCACCTGTATTTGCCGGAGTCCTGTCTCATCACTTGATTCAANGAGAATGGGTTGGAGTGTGTGTTTGTCGTAATGAATGAGTTGACGTTAATGTCAATCCAACCCAATAAGACTTATGCAAACATAAGGATTATGACGATTCTTAATGTAAATACAGTGAACGCCTGGTATTGAGAAGCGCGGGATTACATGTTATTTGACGGCTTTAGTCACTACCAGAGCTCCTGTTTCTTGCCTTTTGTCAATTGATCTTTGAATGAACACTGGCTTAGAGGCAGAACACAGTGTATAATATGGCAACTCAAAGGGTACGGCACTGGTATGCCATCAATGGTAACCCCCTTTACTGCCAATAGTATATGTTGTCTGAAAAGCCTAGAAGTCATATCATTTGTTCACTTCTTTCTCTCTCCATCTCTCGCTGTATTTGGGGTTAAGTCGAGTCGAGTCTGTGAAACACTACTATTCACTAATACTGAATATTCCGGGGCTTTATATAAATGTATATACAATACAATCACAACCTTTATATAATATATTGTATATTACAGTATATATTCGCTACCGAAACGAAGAAATCGATAAATTTATTTTCAATACACATATTTGACACAAAGTATACAATAATAATATCAATAAATATATACAAATATAGTTTAAAATAGATATAATTGAATGCTTACAGTATATGTCGAGAATCCACGAGTCCTCGAGGGCCGAGTCGGGCAGTACTGAGTGGTCGGCCCGACACGACAGTATCTTTCCGTTGTCATCGACGGTAGGCGTGAATTGAACGGTACTTACGGTGATGTTCTCGTTTTTGGTGATCTCTTCGGCCGTGTGGGCCAACCGTTTGGATCCCTTCCACCACGTGACCAGAGCCGGGGGTCGAGAGCCGCCCGCCTCACACACCACCTCTATCTGGCGGTCGGCCATCAGTGGCCGATGGACTGTCGTTATCCGCACATCTAATGGACGCACTGTTAAGACAAAGATTATTGATTATGAATATGAAATTTGATTTGTTTTTGAATTACAAAATTACATGTATTTTTCAAATGACTTTTTGCGAAATGTTTTGATACTTTAATGTTTTCAGAAATAAATTATAAATAGATTTCTGTTTTATAATTTAAAGGAATTTGAAATTGATTTTGATATTTAGGCAATTTTTTGTGTATTTGTTTTTTATAGGAATTTTTCCGTAGTTTTTGGTGAATAAAATGCGAATGAAATTGAGTTTTCATTTTATTTCACAATAAATCTCTTTTAAAGCTCTTTAAAAAAGTGTTTATAAATTGATGTTAGTTTTGGGGTTTATATTGGAATTTACAGAATATTCTGTAATATCATATCATGTATTGAATGGTATAACGAGAAAAATGACTTTAATTTGAAAATGAGATTAAATGCTATATTTCTATAAATATTTAATACAATATTTAATATATTATGAATAAATGTGATTATGTATTATAAATACTAATTATTAGCTACTTATTAGATTATAAATATTTATTATACATGTATACACAGAATAATCATGATATTATTGGTGCAACACTGTATAAAAGTGATATATAAAATATATCATACAATGGGAATACAACTTAATTTCATGAAATCCATACAACAATTACTTAATCAAAATCAACATAAAACTAATCTCTCGTTTTACTCATATATAACATATCAATAATGGCTTTCAAGAGAATAATGATCTGAATTTTATATTTCATTTTTCATACACTTCTTAGCGAAGGAAAAAGATTATTGGCATTCATGAAAGGACTTAATACCAGGATCTCTCTCTCTCTCTCTCTCTCTCTCTCTCTCTCTCAAGTATGAACTTATGTGCGAAGAAATGTTTGTATAAAAAAAGTATATGAAAAAGTGTCGATACGAATGAGATGTATCGATAAGAATAAAAAATGAACACAAAAAATAAAAGGCATACAAAGAATCGTAAAGTGAATATTCTGTTGTATGACTTAACTGTGAGCACGAAATACAACTGATTTATCATTGAATATAAGGTGTGATGAATGAGGAGAAAAGTATTATTCATTTTGAATAAGAGAATAGGCGGTCATCACTCAAGACAGCCCATATGGAGAGAGAGAGAGAGAGAGAGAGA